GCTGCTTCATAGCATCAGTAGATTATTTTAACTTCTAATAAAAAGAGTCATTATGAAGTCATGAAGTCTATAAATCATGTAATATAACATATTATACAAATCCATCACAATAAAACTAATGTGTTAATAGAGCAGAATAATACAGATGAGCCAAAAGTGCTAAATTGATTATGTTTATGTAATATATAGTATTTATTACACTGTTATGGTAATTACATCTTACATATAATTTCAAGATTTTACATAAAGACTGAAATACAAGTACATGTCTGTTAATGCTGTAGTACTTTTCTACTTGCAAATTGTGCATGCATGATGCCATATACTTTAATGCTGTTTCTGTGCATCAGCCTAAAAATCTGACAGATTTACAATAGAGCTAAATTAATGAACCAAATTAATAACTCCACAGAGTCACATAAATCACATAAATTGATAAAATAACTGGCAACATCAAGTTCATATTTTGCTTTTTTCTCTTAGTTAAAACAAGAATGTGATACTTTGAAAAAAACTATACATACAAGAATGTATGCACACACTGACACTGTTAGTGAAATTACCTCCCACAGCCGACAAACTGCTTGTTTTTGCAGCCAAATGCTGCACAGGGAGGCATTTTTATGGAGCATCTCTGTGGGAGGGGGGAGTACCAACATGGCGGATGGTGGCTTCACTTTTTTGGGGCAATAAATAGAGATCAGTGGTGTGGCAGCAGCCAGAGTGAGGTGGAATAGTACCCAGAAGGTGGAGCAAGGAGCAGATTCATGACATTTCCAAGGTGGTACTAACAGGGTCCGCATCATCAGGTTAGAACCAATTAGATAACTGCTGATATAACACAAAAATTCCAAGCGAAACTTTCTGTTATTGTAATCATTTAGTTTGTGAAACATATCATGACGCTGAGGAAACTCTCTAGTGAGCAGTCTCTACCACTTTTGCCTATAAAATATCATAATAAAAGGTGTGTTCTCCAGTAACTTCTAAGTTAAATGATAAAATACTTAATGTGTGCTTTTTCTTTATGTTTGCATATCTTACACTCATAATTACATTTTATTTTTTGTTGATCCAGACCTTCTGGGACGAAGGATGTGTCCTTCACTGTCCCAGACACCATCACCACCTGGGAGACAGAGACTTTCTGTTTGTCCTCTCAGGGTTTTGGTTTGGCTCCTCGTCAGAATCTCACCGTCTTCCAGCCCTTCTTCCTGGAGCTCACCCTGCCCTACTCTATAATCCGGGGGGAGAACTTTGAGCTGAAGGCAACCGTCTTTAACTACCTGACCAAGTGCATTATGGTAAGATTTAATGTCCCCCGTCACATCTAATAAACCATATATATATATATATATATATATATATATATA